GCAAGAGAGCATGTATAAGGTATGACTCAATCATTACCTGTGAAGTGATTGCCTTTTCGTTAAAGTGATCTTAGCATTTCGCAACTCTCTAAAAATGTGCTGCTCACCAGCTCTCATCACCTAAAGATGTGCCTGCAGATCGTTCTCATCGCCCTAGAAATGTGCTGCCAGCGTCGTCCGGTGCTCTAAAGTGATCTCAACAGCTCTCATCCCTTAAAGATGTGCCAGCAAACCGCTCTCTCAGCTCATGAATCTGGTTATGAGCGCTAAATTTAACTGGTTTTTCATACATTTTGCAATCCCGTCTCGTAAAACCTCTCAATTGTGTTCCTCGTGTGATCCTATTTTCCTAATGTTTCATTGCCGTTCAAGAATTCTCAACCACTTCATATCTTTCTTTATACATATCCTTTGCTTTGTAAATTTACCTTGTCTTCTTTTTTAATTGACGAATTAATCTTTCGCCTTTTACTAAAGATTTCCGTAGACAGTTGTCATCAAGGGGTTTATCAGAATTTTTTTCTAAGGCTCAACTTTCCTTTCATGGTTATGTTAGGCCAATCATGAATACATTGCAAGATACAAACTACTAATAGTATAGAAGTTTTTTTCTTTGAGTTGGTTAATTAGATTCGTTTACTCTCAAATCATCACTGTCGATAGATTCAGACTATTGCAGCGTCGGTTTATTATCTGTTAAAGTCGATGGCCCATTTGCTGGCTTAGAAGCAGTTCCACTCACAAGACGACATTGTAAAACAGCTAGATGCTGGAACAGCATCACAAGATAGATGGTTTTGTCATAAAGGTATTGGAGTTTCCAGAAAGGTCGCTAAAAGGTTCCAACTAGCGTTGGGCAATACTTTGTGACCATTTCTCTAAGCTTATTTTTCTCTAAGGTGCCTTTTCACTAAAAAAAAAACCAGCCAGAACTTGGTTGCGACTTGTGAATTAGCTGATTACTTGTCAAGATTCAGTTCGTTTCTGGTAGAATTGTTATTAATAATGCTATGAATGAATTTTTTGACAGCCACAACATATTTCAGTTTTACTCACCGTAAGCCAACAATTAATTAGCCACCAACCACTTTTGTGTCACTTCAAAATTCAAATTTACTCCAACTGTGGCAACAATAAATTTAACACATTTTTCTTATCAAATTAGACAGTAGTCAGTATCTTGACCACCCGCCGAATGCAATAGGGATTATCTGCTGCAACACATCTCTACCGCCAAACGATTTGCGACGTGAATGCATGCGCATGCGCATAGTCATATCTCTACAGGTTGGTGCTTCATTGCTGCTATTTACCTATTCTAACCACACTAATGTCTTACTTAAGACAATGAAATGCAAGGGTTTTTGTTTTTGTGCACAAACCAGCCACCAACCCGGCTGGTGGTTGTCCGCAATAATAAATCAATTTGTAATTGAATTGAATACGAAATTCAATTGAAACACGGACACTCGACACACAAGACCAACTGCAATGATAATGATGAGAGTGATGCACACATACATGTACATATTTGTGTCTCTCTGCAGTACAATAGTTGTGTGAAATGTTTGATGGTGAGTGTGGTTTACACCGCAGGGGTCTATTGATGTACTCCAACTGACTTTATTATGCCAGCTTGGCAGTGGAGTGACAATGAGCGGAGACAACTGAAGATGAATAGTTGCATGCGGAGCTGTCAAATGTTTTGTGTGGAAGGGTGCTTATGAACAAGAGCTGGGAGCGACGTGGCGATGGGCACAAATAGACAAATATCTAATTGTGATAGCTTAAAATGGAAGCACAGAGTCAGTAATATTAGTAAAACAAAAAATATAATTAGAGAAATAATTGAGTCACAAATAATAAATTTTAATTAAATTGAGAAATTTAATTTACTGGAAAGAGACAGACATGTGGGCTATCAACAATATGTTTTTGAAAATTTCAATTCTTTTACTCAGTTTAAAAACCTCATATATTTCCTTTACTGTTTTATAATTTGTATGTATTCATTAACGGCCCAACAGTGCCTCGCAAGGTAAGTTGAGCCTTTGAAAAAAATTTTTACAGACCTATTAGTTACTCCTCTCCACGGAAATCTTTAGTAAAAGGCGAAAGATTTATTCGACAACTGAAGAGAAGTGAAGGTAATTTTGCAACAGAAACAGCAAAGCATATGAGTGAAGAAATATATAAGATGGTTGAGAATTCTAGAAATGCAGCGAAAAAATTAAACACAGCCTTACGCAGGCTACAAATGAAATGTGTTGCTTGAGTGATCTTTATGGCATAACTCAAATATCATACATTCAAGACAACCTTACACAAACAACATACAAAATGTGATCTCAGAGTGATCTTTATGGAGTAACTGAAGTATCATCGTTAAAAATGTTCAGTTAATTCATAAGCATCACTCAGGGATGAAGTGTTCCTTTTCGAATGCTGAGTTTTTTCATAAGCATCACTCTGGCATCACATTTCGAATGTTGTTTCTGTAAGGTTTGCACAAACTAGTAAAATCTAGGTAGAGAAGCGCACACAACGAGCAACTTGAGCTGACGCTGCAGCTCTCTGCCAATTATTTAGGGGATGGGCGCTGTTGAGTTCACTTTTGAGCACCAGCCAGCGCAGGTAAATGTTTAGAAGCATTAAATAATTTTTGTAATGCTTGCCAGATAAGATTTCTGTAGAGTATAATCCACAAAGGCATCACTTTCGTGCTGATAATTGGACCTTAATATGATTTTCTTTGAAACAGGACGAATAACATGATTTAGATTTAGATTAATTCGTATAGCGTTTTTGTTTTTTAATAAATCTACTTTCTTTATCCTTCAAAAATTCACAATTCTATTTATTATAACAGAAAAGAATATAGAAAATCGTTATTTTGATTTTGATCAATCAGTTTGTATGGCAGCTATATGCTACAGTCGTCCGATTTCAACAATTTCTTTACAGACAGTGCCGTTTCTTCAGTAAATAATATATTTGAAATTTCGTAGAGATAGCTCAACAAAAGAAAAAGTTTTCCATATAAGGACTTAAGTTTAAGCGATCAGTTTGTATGACAGCTATATGCTATAGTAAACTGATCTGAACAGTTTCTTCAGAGATTATACCACAGACTTGGAAAATAATTCATGCCAAATTTCATGTAGATATCTCCTAAAATAAAAAGGTTTTCCGTACAAGGACTGGATTTTCATCGTTTAGTTTGTATGACAGCTATATGCTATACATGTGCAATATCTGCAGTTCCGATAGAGGAGCAGATACTTTGTGAGAACAAAATATATCCAAGATTTTAAATCAATATCTCAAAAATTGAGTAACTAATTATATATACAGACAGACTAAAAGACACACGAACAATAGACATAGGTCATCGTGTTGTTCATTTCTTTATAGTTTCACAGGGTCTCCATCGCTTTCTGCTGTGCGTTGCAGACATCGTGGGATACTAAATAATATACTTGGTTCAGTTTATATAAATACTGGCTGAAAAGTTTCTAAAAACCCGAATTAGTTTCGCTAGTTTTGCGAGTGTTACAGATTATAACCAACCAGCTTTTTTCAGCAACCAAGCAACAAGAAACGTTTATATAGTTAAATTCTCGTTCTCAAGGCTGCTACTTTTTCGCATTTAACAAATAATATAATATGTGTAATAGTACAACGAAAACTCATTAATGCTTAAATGGAAACAAAACAGGAAGTTAAAAGCGCAATAAAAGCATATTGTTTTTGTACGCCAATGGACAAATGTTTTTACTTAATTGTGTGATACATAATTTATACACACATATATTATATACATTTATATACATGTATATATATGCGTATGTTGAAACTTCTTTGTTGAAGTTGGCAGGTAGCCGAGCTGTGAGAAACAAGCCACAGGTAAGCTTGACATATGCAGGTAAGGATGTACTGCCATATGTACTTTTGGCATGCTTACATATAGACTTGTTCGCAGAAACGCTAAGCAGCTTCAAAATTGCAGAAAATAAATTACGTCATCAAATTTCAGCGACTATGAACTAGTTCCGTATGGACTATTTGTCAAGTAGGCGGCATGAAACCAATTTTTTGTTAATTTTTTTTTAATAAAAATACAGCAGACAGCTGCTGGTAACATTTTCCAACTGAACGCACCTTGATGAAACTAGTTAGTAACTAGTTGTTTTCTGTACAGTCTTGGTACTAGTCTGCTAAACCGAGCATATTTGCTGCTGATTATTATTTTTCCACTAAAATGTTAACATATGCCTACTGATAGCCTTTTTTAAACTGAACTCACCTAAATAAAACTAGTTAGTAACTAGTTGTTTTCTATACTGTGTTAGAAGTAAGCCACTAAAGCGGCAACAAATGCCTGCTGATAGCCTTTTTTCAACTTCACTTACCTCGGTCACTGGTTACTTTCTATACAGTATTGTTACCAGTGCAGTACAGCGAAAAAATTTATTTTAATACCCATATAAAAATGATACCTGCTAAACGGCGCTAGGCGTGTTGCGCATTGGAATGTAACATTTTTTAATCAGTATGATTCACCTGATTGTCATCTGAAGCACGAGTATGAGGCATCGTAATGTGGTTGCTAAGCACAGCCAAACAATGCTGGAATGTTAATTGTTGTTGATTTGTTATTTTTTTGTTGTATTTGTAAATCATTATTTGCATGCTTTGAGTAATACTGGTGGTGTCTCTGGTGTATAGGTTATTTTTAAAATTTCGCTTTCATGAATGGAATTTATATATGGAATTTCGATTCGTTAAAGGCAAACCGCAAGCGCAAAATTTTTCATTGCTGACTGGTTTAATTGTTACTCTATGCAACTTTTGCGGAATTATTTCTCACTTTAGTCGGGTCCAAAATACCCAAACTTTTCATATTAATCGTTGTTCCTCATACAAAAACTTGGAGAACGCGTCCGACAGTGTTCCCTAAATATACATACCGTTGTTAAGGCGAGATAACTTCCACTAGATTAAATATCAATTGTGTTCGCTTTATTATTAAATAATTACTTAAACGTAATTTTATAAGTAACCACAAAACTGCTGATTTAAACTGAATTGCAATTTACATTAAAAAGTTACAATTAAAGCTATGGCTCATACACACATGCGCACATGTACACACAAATTTATACTGTGGCGGCGGAAATTAGGAATAAGTTTTCAAATACATCGTAACTTAATAATAAAACTGAGAAATCAGTGTTTTTCTGTTTATGCTTAGATAAATGACATCAAAATCTGCTTAGGTTTGCGTTTTGCAATAAAAATTTATTTTGGTACCATACTTAATACCGCTGTGTTACAGTTTATTTTTTATAATTTTTTAAAAATAATTACTTTGCAATATTCTTTTCTTAAAAATTAAAAGATCTTTGGTTTTCGTATCTATTTTTATGTATTTTGTGTTTAAGTTATGGTTGGTTATGAAAGGTTAACTGTTCTCAGTGTTAAAAAACTGTTCTCAGTTTGTTTGGTGCAGCTTTCTTTCAAATACTTGTATATTAAGACGTTTATGTTTCAATTTTGCTGATTTCCAATTACTTAAAACTGTTCCCAGTTTGTTTCGTACGATATTGGTGAAAGTATACTATTTTCTACTTAGCTTTTTTTGTTCATGAACCCGAGAAAAGTCAAATTGGGGTGCTTAACATTGATTTCAAACTGCTCCCAGTTTGTTATAATAATAATAATACTAATACTAATATAGTAATACTCTGTTAATTATTGTTAATTAATGCGCCGCATTTTAAATTTAGCTGATTTACATTTATTTTAAACTGCTCCCACTTTCACTTTGTTTTCTTTTCCTACCATGTCCGTTAGCGCTTTTTTGCAAAATGACATTGAAATACTCTTAATTTTAGTAAAATACTGAAAAAGTTAATAGTCCGCTTAACACGAAATATACATAATTACGTCTAACAAAAGCTAACATTTAAAGCTCTCCAGTCATAATTGTTTACTGGCAAGTGCGTGCTGTATAACATTTTCAAAACTGTTCTCACTTCTAAATACTTGTAACACATGTATTATACGCTTATATTACTGCTTAATTTTAAAAACTGTTCCCACTCACACTTCATTTGGTTACACTTTTTCAAGTAGCTGTTTACTCTTTGCTTGCTGCATAATTCCCACTTTACGTTAACAGCATTTCACAATATTCCAACCACTTATATGATAACTATCACAAGTATAAAATTACTCCGCTTCCCCTACTGCCGCCACCAAAAATCACACTTTTGAGCAATACTGCTCATTGCTGAAGCTCTGCGTGCCGCTGCCATTGCTCGCCCGTTGCAGCGACGGCATGCTGGCATCCACGCCATGTTCCAACGTGTACGGTGGCGGCGTCGGTATGATCTCGTTCAGCGTCGTGCATGTGTCCTGTCGCGGCAGCTCTACACGCAAGCACGCTTTAGGGGTCTTAAACTCTTTTGTTATATAACGCGCGGTAATCAAGGCCATTGCAAGACCCAACACACCGCCGCACAACACATCCGACCAGTGATGCCAGTTGTCCATGATGCGCGACAGCGCCGTGAACCAAGCCAACATTACGAGTGTGAACTGCAGAAAATGCCGCGTCAATTTCGAACCACGCCAGGTGATCTTATACTGCAGATAAATGGCGACATAAGTGAGCGCGAAGAAGCACAAGCTCGAATGACCGCTGGGGAAGGAGAGACGCGCCTGCCACACGTCTTCCGACGTATAGCCACTGCCCACGCAAACATAATTCTCAATGTAGCGATGCAGATTCTGTGGCGACTCGCAAGTGCTGCCGTCACTCAACTGTGGCTGACACACGCTGATGAAATGTGGACGCAGCCGTCCGATTGTGAACTTGCCGATCTCCGTCGCCTCCAACGTTAGCAGACCACCGAATGTAAAGCAGAGCGCATGTTGCGCGAATTCCACCAGCCAGGCGGGCACCTTGTAGCCGAGCAGCAACACCGTTTCGCGTATGCGATCGCAACGATAGAAGAGCGTTAATTCGACTAAAAGCATTATTAACGCTGGCACTGCCACAACAATTACACCGAGGAGGACTGTGGTTATCGTGTTTGGACGAAAAGGATAACGTATCGACTCGTCGTCACAGAAGAAGCCGCGACGAAAAGGTTCTAGCACAAACTCGCATATGAGGATCGGTATGCCGAGCACAATGAAAATGATTAGATCGGTCAGTAGACTGCGCAGGAAACGGCGATCGGCCGTGGTGAGTCTATTGTCTTTCATGGCGCTCATGTATTGTAGCTCCGCTAGTTGGATTTTTACGCTTTTTTACGCGACTTTTAGTAGCGCGTAGCTTTTTAGTGAGCTTTAATTGTTACTGTAAATGTTAAAATTAATTCTGTTTTTTATTCTGTCAATTGCTGCAATTTGTTGCCCAAATATATTTTTTTTAATAATTTTTTTTTGCTTTCGTTTCGTTCGTGCACTGCGCGCAAGCTTTCCGCGTTCAGCGATGCGCGTCGTAGGATCGTATGTGACTGAGCACGCTTGCCTTCTTTTCAACTAATTTATTTCAGAAACATAACCATTATATGGCGACGCTCGCAGTAGTAATAAAACGCAACAACAATGACAAACGCGTTAATAACAAAAACTGAGCAAACTTTGACTGTTGACAGTTAGTGCTTAGCTGTATGCTTGCGCTACGCTCTTTGGCTCTCCACGCCGCGCTAGTGTGTGTAGAACTTTTTCCAACAATTTGCGCGCGCTCTGCGCTGATCGTGAAGTTAACTTAACTGTTGCTTGATTAACCCGGATTCGTTGATTACAACCGCTCGCTTAAGTTTCATTGTCTATATAAAAATCTCTGATTGCGCTCTTTACGAGCGCGCGCAGGCTAGCGCTGCGATCTTAAAGTACAAGGGTACTACGGATATATCGTGACTTTGCGCGTTCGTCTGTCGCGCTGGCTATCGCCTGGCAAAGCGCGTCGCTCTAATCCTCAGTCGCGTATACTAAACGAGTGTACGACAGTAATTTTTGACTGCAGGAACCGAGATCTTATGCTTTCGCGTCAAGCGCCTTCGTCTACAAATCTAGTTTGCTTGATAAGATAATTGCGAGCCACCGCCAGTGGCGAAAAACAACTACAACGTAATGCAAATATCGCAAAATATGATTACCCGTGATTGTAAACAAAAGCGACGCGCTGAACAAGTGCTGCATACGCTCGTATGAAAATGTGCTAAATTTTAACAAACATTTATAAAGCGAAAAACGATAAAGACAATATGCAATTCATGCAATGTACGTGTTGAAAATAATAAAATGACAGACACAGATAACTATTTGTATAAACGTAATGAGTAATCATAACGCAGTTAATAGAACTAAACTGGCAAACATGACTAATAACCGGCTATAAATTCCCACTATTGTAGGAAAGCCTTAACCGAAGCGTAAAGCAAACGAGCAATGAAATTGAAAGCAAATGCCAAAGTCACGGCCTAACAGTAGCCGTCCAATTTTCGCAACAGCAAGCGCCAAATAGACGCGCCAAATAGACGCGCCATCAGCGTATGGCGCTAATAACAGACACCTGCCGCCAGCCGCACTTGATAAACGCACCACTTGCCGCCAGCCGCACTGGACAAACTCACCCCCTCGCTGTACACCCACACTTTGTCGCACATTTGTTCATTACAAGTAATGCGTTCTCATGCCCTTGTTGGCCTCGCATACCGCTCTCTTTTTCCGTAAATAACGCTCTTTCACCGTTCGTTTGTTCACGTGTGCTTTGTTTTTGACGCATGTTTGTTTTGATACGAAAATTTATGACAACTGATCGCCCTGATCTTCAAGGGTAGCTTAAAAAAATAAGTAATTCACACCTATTTGTCGTTTATGGTAATTTTTTTGTGATTGCGTAATTATATTCAAGCTCCCTTTGCGGTTTTATTGATCGCTAGAGATCCTTGCTGACGCTGATTATGAAAAGTTGTTTTTGAAATAGCATTTTAGTTTTTTTTGTTTTTATTAAAAGTTAAACGATTTTTGATTTTACTATCTAACCTTCTATATTTTGGCTTCAGATTATGGTAGGTTTTTTTTTTTTTTTTTTTTTTTTTTTTTTTTTTTTTTTTTTTTGCTTTTTTCTTAAAAGTTGCTTTGAATTTTAATGAAAA